GCTTTTGGGGAAGCCCAGAGCAAAACAACGAGAGATTATGATCAAAGTGGACATAACGTCGTGAGATTCCCCAAAGCAAAGCTAAAAAACGTCATAGGCCCCCGAGAGTTGTATATATAATGACTAACAGAGGACTTATTCCTGGTTTTACTATCATATAATTTTATTATCCCTGGGCTTAGCACGGAGGGAAGTTGTATGCGGGCGTATCAGTTGTTCTTGGAAGGAATGGAATTTGGGTACTCACCATCTGAACATACGTATAAGGTTCTTTGAGAAGGTCTTTGCCAAGAGCTAGACATCCAAAAGGCTAAGGAATTTCTTCAAATAATGTTAGACAAGAATGGTGTTGACAGAACTAGAACTTACAACATATACTTGAGAGCTGTCTGCCTTACAATCTACTCAACTGAGCTTTTAAATACACTTGTTCCAGTGCTTCAAAGCAACTGTCAACCTGATGTTATTACCCTCCATACAGTCATGAAAGGAATTTGCAAGGTTGAAACCATTGGAGAAGCTCTAAAGGTATTAAATGATCTGATAATCGGTAAATTTTTTGTTCCTGATGAAGTAACCTTCAATTATATGTGGCTTACTGAATGTTTGGAAGATCCAGGAATCTCTTGATTTAATATTATATAAGGTAATGCCAGAAAAAGGCATTATGCCCGGGTGTTGTTATGTATAATGCCAGTATTCGAGGTTTGTTTAAGCTTCAACAAGCAAACCAAGCAATGGATACCTTTTACTGAATGATTAGCGTTGGCATCCTAGCTGACAGTACTAGTTATGCTGTGATCATTGATGGGTTATGTGATTCCAATAAAATTGAAGAAGCTAAGAGATTCTGGAAAGATACGGTCTGGCCCTCAAAGATTAATGATAGTTTTGTTTAATTTTCTATTCTTAAAAGGCTTTGCCACACTGGCAAATATAATGAAGCTTTCCATTTCCATATGTACTAGCAGAGGCTGGGGTTTCTCCAAATATCTTCTGCTAGGATATCGTGTTCAATACTGGATGTAAGTTGGGACTAAGAGGAGAAGCATATCGACTGTCACAGAGATGAAAAAGAATGGGTTAGCCGCTGATTCTAACCTGAAGGATTCCTCGCAAATTACATCAAAGTGAGATGACATGGTTTGGAATTCCATGATATTGTCCACTTTGAATATAAACTCTCATATAGTCTAATTTGGACATAAATTCTCGTGGATTTACTTTTGATTTTCCTAAAAAGTCCCGATATATTCCTTACTTATAAACCTATAATCAATCCCTTAGTCGATGTGAGACTCATCTTCCAACAATCCTTCCCTTGAACTGAACAAATTACATCATAGAGCCTCCCTTCTATGGAGCCCTCGAACAAAGTACACAATTTGTTCGACATTTGAGACACTTTTGACTATGCTTTCGAGGCTCACAACTTTTTTGTTCGACATTTGAGAATTCTATTGACATGACTAAATTAAAGATAATGACTCTAATACCATGTTAAGAATTACGTACTTCCATAATGACATGATATTGTTTACTTTGAACATGAGCCCTCGTGGTTTACTTTTGGTTTTTTCAAAAGACTTCATAGCAGTAGAGATGTATTCTTTCCTTATAAAAGTATGATTAACCTTTAATTAGCCAATGTAGGACTCTTCTTCCAACAATTCTCAACCGAACCAACTTGTCCCAGTGATTTTAATTAACATAGGGTTGGCTTGGAACAGACAGACTTGGAAAGACTTGTAAGTGTAAATGAAATTGATGTTTAGACAGATGTAAGACCTTGGTCTTTCTGCACAGAGATCAAACGTCCAAAACATCCAATCCTGTGATTCTATTCTAGAGCCATCATTCTTTTCCGCTTAGTAAAAGGATCATGCGTTCAATACGTGGTTTCAAAACCATGAAAGCTGACAGGAACAGACCTTCCAAAACATTGCTGAATCCTTTGCAGCTCCTCTGTAGAGGCTTGTTGCATTCCTCATAGACTTATCTGCTCCCTGTCACAACCCTCAATTAATTGCCAGTGTGGACTTGGAGAAAAAAAACCTGAAACAATTCTGAGGAACATTGTTCACTGTTCTAACTTTCACATTCATGATTATATTACTAACGTTAACGTTCACTGTCGTTTTAAGAGAAAGAATGGACACAGGATCTGGTATATATGCTAGTCTATGTTGAATATCTGTCGAATCGAAAACGCTAACCATCAAGTTCAGGACATTTGAACATTAATTCATTTTGCTTTTCTGATTCGCAGGTAACCATCTGTTCTAAAGGCGATGAAACGCAATGCAAGTTGGAAGACAGCTTACTTTGGTCGAGTGGTTACCAAGTGATCAGGTAAAGCTTTCTATTACTTTGTTTTATCATTTGCACACTAATGATCTAATCACATATACCCCAAAAGTTCTTGCAAAAAGGAAAAAAGGTTAAAAAAGATGCAATCACAATCATATCGACCTCTTTTCACATTATATCACGAGGCACTGATTAATTTTCATCAGTTCATCAGCCTTTTTGTTTTGTGGACTGCATTTTATGCATAATTTTGATAACTTTGCCTTGCATTTTATAAATTGAACTTTAATATTGTATTTGGTTCACAAACTTTTTAGGTTTCTAAATTTTAATAATGTCTTCCAATTTTTTAATTTTGTTTCTAAAAGTTGTAAGATTAATTTAGTGTTTGTCAAATAAGATCCTAGTAAATCAATTTTGTGCCGATTATTAAATGGTTAAATAAGTTAAAATATACTAAATATATATATATATATGCAAAGAACATTCTATAGACAAGAATGAATAAGATCATAATAAATCAATTTTGTGCCTATTTTTAAATAGTTAAATAAGTTAAAATATACTATATATATATATATATATATGCAAAGCAAAGAAAATTCTATAGACCAGAATGAAAAGTGTGAAGATTCATAAAGAAACATGTTTTAGATGCGAATAGGACACGCTTTGCCCTTTGTAGAAGGAAAAATAATAATTTAAAGCCATTTATTTCTTTAGTAAAATGTCCTTTTCTGTATTCAATAAAATTATAAATATCTGGCAAAAATATCTTTTAATATACAAATAAATCATTAAATAACTTTTATGGAACGAATTAAAATATTAAGGAAACAAAAACAGATTGGATAAATATATTAATGGGAGCGAGAAGGTATCAAAAGTATTCATAAACCAAATCTTTCTAACAATTCTCAGAAAACTTGATTTAATTCATTCATTCATTCATGTATCTATTACTTCCGTTTAAGTCATTCATATCGATTTTTCATCTAATATTCTAATAAATTTTAATTTAAAATATATTTTAAAATATTTACGCGTTGAAAAATATATATATATATATTTTGAAGTAAATTCCAAGTTGGAGGTTTTTTTAAATGTAAAGAGGAAAAGTTGAAGGACAAGTGTGAGAGTGAAAATGACGCGAGTAAAGGTGTGGAGGCATCCAAGGAAGGGATTGCGTGGTTATGTTGTGTTCACTATTCAACTTTAAAAGCGCGTCTTTCAAAGGCGCGTCTCATCCCCACGCGTCTAGAATTAATATTATTATTATTATTATTATTATATTTAATTCATTATTTAGAATACTTGAATTTAATATTTTCTATTTATTTGAATAAACTTTTTAAAATGTTGTTGCCTTAGACCTTCCTCTCCGTAAAGTTTTTATTTCCTAATCTTACACTCATTTATTGTTATTATTTTCCTATCAAAAAATATATATATATATATATATAATTGTCTTTTTGTAATTATATTTTTCTCAACCATTAGTACTTATAGTCTAACATTTCCCATTTCTATCGCTAAAATGTTATGTCGGGTCATATTTTTATACGACATTTTTACATATAAAAAATTAAAAAATGTAAATGAATTATCAATGTGGAAGACCTTAATTTTATCAAATATTGATGAAAATATTAATAAAATGTTTATTTTAATTTAAAATATGAAATATTCGTTAGAGTAATTAAATCAATAAATACAATATTTTATTTATTTATTTTTGTAATAAGTTGAAATTTATCCATATAAGTGATATTTTTATTTTTTTATCAATTTTTGTGTGATATAATTGAAATGTAGATATTTTTTCATATCGATATCAAATTTTTGGACTAGTGGTCATCGAGGACAATGAAAATATTAAATAGCTCTAGAAAATATGCCCAAATCATTATGACCACTTACCTAATATTTAAAAGCTAACTGTTTCTTTCATCCATTTAATAGGGTAAACTATTTGTACTTAGACTCAACCGCTTGTAAAATTTGAAAACGAGAAGACCACAGGTGAAGCCCCGGATACTTGACCTATTTGACGATTACTATAATAATATTTAGGTTGTTCGTGTTTGTCCAAAGTGAGTTCCAATCAAGAAACGTGTCAATTTGCAAATAGAATCTTGACATCCATGAACTATTTAGCTCTGTAGCTTCAAAGTCTAAGTCTAAGGTGGTGTTAAGGTGAACTAAGGTTAGATTATATACGTTTGTGAACGAGTATTGTTTACCATGCATGATTGTTATATTGGTCGAGTAGCTGATTCATCATCTATGTTGTCCCACCCTTGAAGTAGACCACCTCGTCGGGCTCGTATTTGGTCAAAGTTGACTAACGTGCTTCGAGGTGGGGTTTGAACAAGTGTTCTATGATGGTTGCATCATTGGAAGACATTTTTAACAACATTGTTTGGATTAAGGTAGACTACAAAAGTTTTATAGATTAATTAAAAGAATTATATATAAAATATAAGATGGAATATATATATATATATATATTTACAGAATATTATTATATAAATGATATTTGAAAAGTCCGATTTTCCTTGACCGTATTATTTGATGGATAAAGAGGAAAATTAGGAGAGAGTCGGCCGTCGGATTTGAGTTCCCACATCGCTCTTCTTCTTCTTCAATCTTTTCTCATTATAAATACCCATTCGCCCTATCATTTCTTCAAGCAGAAGTACAATACTCTCTCTCTCTCTTTCAGATTGATATTTGACCTACCAAAATGGCTACTGACTTGAACCAGATTGCGGCATCAAACTCCGATACCGAGCAGGTCTTGAAGTCCAAGCCCTCCTTCCTTCTCCAGGATAACGCTGAACTCCGTAAGGTTTTCGACCGCTTCGATGCCAATGGCGACGGTAAGATCTCCTTATCCGAGCTTGATTCCGTCCTCAAGTCCTCAGGCTCATCCGTTCCCTACGACGAGCTCCGCGCCGTCATGGAGGATCTCGACACCGATAAGGACGGTTTCATCAATATCGACGAGTTTGCCGTCTTCTGTAAGGAGCCGATAGCCTCTAATGAAGCCGGAGCGTCGGAGCTTCGTGACGCCTTCGACCTCTACGATCAGGACCACAACGGCCTGATCTCGCAATCTGAGCTCCACCTCGTCCTCAATCGCCTCGGAATCACATGCTCCAAGGAGGACTGTCAGCGGATGATCCACTCCGTCGATTCCGATGGCGATGGAAATGTTAATTTCGAGGAGTTTAGGAAGATGATGTCCAATAATTCCAACTCCGAGGTGCCGAATCAGAATGGAACTGCCGCCACGGCGCCTTAGCCCTAGTCCTAGCCCTAGGTTTTCTTCAGTTCATACAATTAACCGCGTGAGAGGCAACGAAGTCGATTTACATCGTTCGTTCCTTTTCACTCTTTTAATTTTTCGTTTCGCTTCTCTGTTTCTCCTTAATCTGAATCGATGTATTCATGTATCCTAGTGTTTTTTTATTTTCCAAAATATAACATGAAATTCCGGATCTGGTTCTGTTCTCCCACCATTAATGCTTTTCTTTAATTTCAACTCCTCTTTCTCCTCTTTCTCCTCAGCTTCCGACCGAAGGAAGTAAGCCTCGGCCTCTGTTTTTCTTTGCAAATTCTAAAGTTTATGCATATGATTTTTTCTTTTTAAAATTTTATTTTCAACTTTGAGCTTTTAAGTTGCATTTTAATCCTCAATGGTTGATTTTCTTTTGAGACAAACACTTTTAATCGCATTCATAGTGGTCTCAGGAAATTAGTTGGGAGATAAACTTTTAACACCATAACTCAAATAAAATAAAAGGTAGATGATGAATAAATAGAGAATATAATCTAGAAATTTATATTTTTTTTGGTTCATTTTATAGTCAAACTTACTTTATTTGTGAGTGATGATAAAGTATGCTATACTGAAACGGTTGGTCTTCACTTTTAAAAACAGAGAGTTGGTAACATGAACCATATCGCAAGGAATGCAGGAAAATGGTGAAGCCGAAGAGATGGATGAAAATGTCAAAGTAAGATGTAGGCCTATGAAAATTTTTCGTGGAAATTTTATTTTTGTTTATCTCTTTTTTATAGAAGCCCCAAAATTTATTCTCAATGGGGTATTTTGATGAGGAAATTCTCCCTTGTATAAGGGGCTAACCAGAATATGGAACTGAAAAAGACCATACATTATCTTATAATATAATTTATCCCTAAATAAAATCACTTTCAAACTTTAACTTTCCTTACTAAATCGTTATAAATTAAATAGAAGTGATTTTAAATTATAAATTAATGATTTAATGATTTCCTCTTATTCCGACCGTATCTTCTTTCATGTATCCCTCTACCTAAATAGTTGAATAGACCTCACTTGAACACGTCATATTAATTAGCTGGTCCAAGGGAGTGGGAACGTGTCTTTGTTCCCATCTCCTACTCGATTCTCCGTTCCCATCCCATTTAGAAAACTACAAATTCCGGCTACATTTCTTCTCGATTCTCCTTTAATCCACTTCTAATATATATATGTTTTTAATATTATAAAGTGCAATCTTAAAATAAATACGAGATCAAATTAATAATCAAATTTAATTTCATTATGAGTTGAGTTGTCTAAACTTATCGAACACTTTAATACATATGTGCGGGACTGTTTAGTCCACATCGTGATCATAATCCAACCACGACATAATAATTTTGAAATAGAAACAAAATTATTTTCAATTATTGGGTTGTGCAATGAATAAAATGAGTTTATTGACCAAAAATAAAAAAATAAAAAATAGAGAAAGAATTGTCAAAATCATGAAAAATGGTATTTACATAATGCCACCAACAAGCATGGCAAAATGGTCTTATCCTATCACCCTATTCATTATCATATGTTCCTCGTATGCTTAAATTATTATGCCTTTCTTCACTTTTTATGAATCGATAAATATATGTGATTAGTCGATGACTCGTACTCTACTTGTTTATATCGTCGGGGGACTTAAAGCCCGAGAGGTTGAAGGGTAATGAAACGAACTCGTACTCTGCTTATACTATTCATCCTTTTCATCACTATGCTTATTGTCACGGTCAAAATCATGTCCGTTCCAAACCCCTTTTTACTTGCTTTTATATTGGATCGTTCGTCAAAATCATGTCAATTATTTCAACCCAAGTTACGATATCAAAGTTGTGATTGTTACAAATGATTTTCAACGTATTTTCTCACTCACGTTTTCTAAAACATTTATCACCAACGTGATTTGAGGCTTGATAACACGCCAAAACTGTCCGTAAAATTTGACATTCACACGACCGATTTATTCACTGGTTAAAACTAATTTTTACAGTCATGTTGCTGTAAGAGCGCGATAATAATCGCATAAATTTAGATATTTATACAAACTTATTTTAATAATTGGCCTATTAATATTTAACTAAATATTTTCTATTAAATGTGGCATCCTTAAATGGGCCTAATATGGTGGGCTTCTAAATGGTTGAGGCCCATCTAGATTTATTTCTTTATTATCTATTTTTAAAAACATTTATAATTATTAATTCTCCCTTGAACAGTTATAATTATTATAACCATGTTCGTGGAATTAAAAATATTAAATTACATTTTATTGTAATTCATTTTAAATAAAAATTACCCTAATTTAATTAAAGGGATATGATTAATAGGCAAGGGAATCCAACGCTAAGCTATAATCACTTCCTAAACTGAGGGAATTAATTAGAAAAGTGATTAGATTAGTCATCATCAGCCACATTAGGTTAATCATTTTGTTAATCTCACCTGCCAGTCACGATCCACAGAGCAACCCCCAATAAAAAATATCCACGATTTAAAGTTTTGATAATTTAGATTGGAAAAAAAATAAAGTTTGAAGATGACGGTGAGGAAATTTGGATTTGCATGAAAGCAAAGAGATGATTTTTAGAGAGAGAGAGGATGGTATGGGTCACTTTCCTTGTTAATGACACCTAACATATATAATAAATAAATAAATAAATAAATAAATAAATAAAAATCATGCATATCCATTATGTTGTTTCATCATCAATGTTTGTTCACATGAGACTATACTCAATGGAAACAACCCTAAATTTATTTTTATTTTATATTAATCATCAAAAATATATTTGGTACTTTTTTTAATAAAAATTAATCTAAATTAAAAAAAGAAATAAAAATTGTATGGAATAAATGGAAACAATATTTTGGAGTCCAAACACATCGGTGGAGCTTTAAAAGAACACTTTCCTCTCTGTTTGTGCAGAGAGAGAAATGGCGGATTCATTCGACGAAGAGTGCGATTATCTGTTCAAGGCGGTTCTGACGGGCGATTCCGGCGTCGGAAAATCCAATCTCCTCTCCCGTTTCGCCAGAGCCGAGTTCCGATTGGATTCCAAACCGACCATCGGCGTCGAATTCGCTTACCGGAATATCAAGGTCGCCGATAAGCTCATCAAAACCCAAATCTGGGACACCGCCGGCCAAGAAAGGTCACTCTTCTTCTTCCTCTCTTTTAAGCTTTTCCTTCGATGGCGTTTTTCCCGATCACCCTGTACAAAAAAAAAAAAAAAAAAAAAAAAAAAAAAACTCGATTGGACCCATCTTCTTAATTTATTTTGTTTTATTATTATTATTTAAAAACATATTAGGTCGAATTAAAAGAAGAGAAAAAATTGGTCCTTTTGGTGGGACCCATAAACCTAAAAGAGAAATGAAACCTGTCGTTTAGCGATTGATGAAAGGCTAATATGTCTCCAAATAAAACAAGACATTCCAAACGTAGGGTTCATGAATTTAAATGTCCTAATCATGATTAATTACAACCTTAATCTAAGTTATTCACTAATCCATCTTTTGCTACCAAATTTTATTCCCTCCAGTTATGAGCCGATTTTCAGCATTAAATAAAAAAGGCTACCATTACTAATATTCTTTTTTTTTTTCCCCATAAATTTAAGCCTATTTTTTAGGTTTATTTTATTGTCCAATAAGAATTTGACACGTAAAAACCAGAAGTAAAAAGGTGTTCCGTAAAAAGACGGTAAAGGAAAATAATTAAATTATTATTATCCGCGACCAAGGCGGTTTGTTCGGAAAGGCTACAAGTTTCTAAAGAGGTCAGAGAAAGTTATTATCTATTCTCTTAATATTTTAATACCAAATTTGTTAATGATGTCATTTTTATTAATTTATTGTTTTATTTGTTTCATTCAAATCTACGAATTTAATTTTATGTTAATATATAGTTTTAATACCTTAGTGTTATTGTATGTTCTACTAAGTTTTAATCTAAATTTGATTAAGACATGTGTAGATTTAGGGCCATTACAAGCTCCTATTATCGAGGAGCATTGGGAGCATTACTAGTATATGACATAACTCGAGCTGCCACATTTGAGAATGTGAAGAAGTGGCTACGAGAGCTAAGAGATTTTGGGAATTCAGACATGGTCATCGTTCTAGTTGGAAACAAAAGTGATTTGAACCATTCTCGAGAAGTTGAGGAGGAAGAAGGACGACGTTTGGCAGAGTCTGAAGACTTATTTTTCATGGAAACTTCTGCCATGGATAATGTGAACGTGGAAGAAGCATTTCTTGAAATGGTTCGTAGGATCCATGCGATTGCTTCCCAAAAAAGCTTAAATTTACCGAAACGAATTGAAAAATTTGTTGCTTTTCCAAATGGAAACGAGATCGTTAGTATTCATGAAGTTACTCCTACCAAACCCAATTCATATTGTTGTTCTTTATGAAATTTTAATTTTAAATAGCTAGTTTTGAAGTTTTATTTTTATTTTTATATATATATATATATATATATTATTTATAGTCATTAAATATAGTTAATCTACACGTTTTTTCAAATCAATTTACCCGTGTGAATATTGAAATAAAGACAAATCATAATTTGATTCATAGGTTCGTTGATTTTAATTAATTTATGTCTGGAACGATTTCAAAATTGAAACCTAAAAATTAAAAACTATATATATACAAAAAATTGTGTTTTGTTTTTGAATTATCACAAAAAAAAAAAAAAATGTTACCTTAAGAAGGGGAAATAAATTACGTAAAAAATTAGGAGAAAATAAATAAAAATAAATCTAATAATTATTAAATGAGTATACAGTCCATGATTATTTTATTCGATACCAAATTAAAAATTTACTGAATATATATTTTTAATTTATGAATAAGAAATTTGAGGATTAAACTTATAATTTTAATTTTTTTTTATATTGTAGCTTTACTTTTAACTAATTAAACTATCCCTCGCCAGCATACGAATAAGAATAACAGAGTAACCAAACAGTCCTAAAAGATTTAGAATTTTCGGGCAAATTCACGAGGTGCGTTGGTTTACTTCCGTGACAGACCACTGATGGTGCTCCAAATTTTGCGACTTAAAAGCTGGGACCCGCGCGTGAACTTCAACAACAGTCCACGTGTTACCGTCCACGTAACCGACCTGTGACTGTAACCCTCTCGGCCTCCCCCTTCTCTTCCTCAATCGTCCATCTCCCTCCAATTCTCTGCAAGTGTGACCTCTCAATCGAAATTCACAACGAAGTTCCTTTGAAGGAAATAATTGTATGAATGTCAATCATAGTTGACTTGGTTTTTCCTCTGATTTCAATCCCTCACCGAGGAAGCTGAATCGTCGATTTGGATCATGGCTAATTGGATCTCCTCCAAGCTCAAAGCGGCCGAGAGCATTCTCCAGCAGGTGAGTTCCCCCCTTCCGTTTTTCCTTTTTTTTTTTTTTTTTTTTTTTTTTTTTTTTT